GTCCAATGGGAGGTTCCAATCCAATCCAAGTAGGATGAAAAGGGCCCAGAGCATTCAGGGGTGAAAGGAAAGAACCAAGACCCGCTGAAGTGCTTGCAGAGGATGAATACAGAATGGGGAGTAGAGGGAGGTGATTATGAACACCAGCTAAGGCCACATGCTAAGTCACGGGAACAAGGACTCTGAGTGACATGTTTGTCTAGTTTGTGCACACACACATAGAAAGACATTTGTGTTTACATTTGATGGTTAATCCTGGTTTTCAACTTGATCGAACATGGGACCAACTAAGAGACACTAGACAGGCTGCGAACATTTCTGGCCTGTCCAGATGTACAGATAATACCTAACAGCCCCACTCACGAAGACCTGTGCTGTGCATGGTGGCTCACTAGACCAAGAAGCAGCCACAGAAGGAGCAGATGTACCCACACTAGCCAGAGGGAAAGCTGATGTGGGATTCCCCTCTGTATGCTGTGAATGTTTTATTTACATTGGTTAATAAAGAAGCTGCTTTGGCCCTATAGTAGGGAAAAATACAGCGAGGCCGGAAGAGAGTAGGCAAAGTCAGAGAGATACCACACAGCTGCCAGAGGATGTGGGAACCTTACCAGTAGACCTCATAGTGACATAGAGAAGAATAGAAATGGGTTAATTTAAGATGTAAAAGCTAACTAGGACTACACCTAAGGTATTAGCCAAACAGTGTTATAATTAATATAGTTTCTGTGTGATTATTTGGGTCTGGACAGCCAGGAAAGGAACCAGCAGTCTGTCCACATCTGTACCTTGCTGTTGCTGCTGCAGCCGCCTGTCACTAACACTGGAACTCAGCATCTTCAGCCTTCCAAACTGCACTGAAGACAAGTGGCTCTTCAGGAATTCTCTAGATCTTGAGCGCCAGATTGAGACAATTCTAAACCAGCCTGTGTGCTAAGCAGCTCCCACTGACTATCTAACCTGTGAGTCAATCTAATCCATCCGCTGTTGACTACTTAGACTGTAAGTAGATCTAACAAACCCATTGATAGGTGCTGTTGGCAGGAGGTAGCAGGAAGACCAGGAGCAGAAATTCAAGGTCAGCTTCCAAGGGCGGGAGACTAAGAGAACACAGAAGTGACAGTCTGGGTTTCTATAGTAACAGACAAGAACAACCAACACAGGGCTGCTCTCTCAGAGGCTCCCCTTGGTTCCCAGAATCAGGCAGGCAGCTCATTCCTGCCTCTAACTCCAGCTCTAGATCAGGACCCTGCACATGCTCTTGTATAAGTAAAATACGCCTGGTGTAGCAGCACACACCTTTAATCCCAGCACTAAGGACACAGGTGGATCTCTGTGATTTCCAGGCCAGCCTGGCTTACACAGCAAGATCCAGGGCTGACCCTGTCTCAATTCCTCTCCCCAACACCTACTGCCCCAAACTGAACAAACAGCACAGTGCCACTGGAACCAGTCATTCTTTTTTTTTTTTCCTACCTTTTTTTTTTTAACTTTTTTTTTATTAAGAGAAAAAAAAAAACCAAATTTCCTCCTCCTCCCAGCCTCCCATTTCCCTCCCCCTCCTCCCACCCTTCTCCCCCTCCCCCCACTCCTCTCCCCCTCCCTCTCCAGCCCAAAGAGCAGTCAGATTTCCCTGCCCTGTGGTAAGTCCTAGGTCCTCCCCCCTCCGTGCATTTCTAGGAAGGTGAACTTCCAAACTGGCTAGGCTCCCACAAAGCCAGCACATTACGTAGGTTCAAATCCCCGTGCCATTGGAACCAGTCATTCTAAGCCATACACTAAAGAAACAAAAACTCCACAATAGTGATGAAAGCTATCAAAGACCAACAAGAGTAAGAGACATGTTTGATTGCATAATTAAACACAATAATGAGTTTCCTCAAATTGTCCCAGAGACTTAGTGTAATTTCTACTAAAATCCCATGTCTTTGTAGATGCAAACTTAATAAAACTCAGTGTAAAGACACATGAACCACAACACCCAGAGCCATCTTAAATAGGAGTCATTAAGTAATTTGTTATCAAGACAAGAGTTTGACTATATAGTTCTGGCTGTCCCCTGGAACTCACTCTGTAAACTAGGCTAGCCTTGAACTCACAGATCCACCTGCGAATAAAGTTCCGAGTCACTATTCTTGGCTACTTAAGGCAAAGCAATAGCTCAGGCTAGCACAAACTGCAATCCTCCTGTTCAGCCCAGCCCCTGTTAAGTGTTGGGTATGGCGCATCACGCCTGGGCTTCGGCTATTTTACAGCCGTGGTAATTGTATGTAACACTGTCACACGGACAGAAAGTTTATCAATAGCAGAACTCGGAAACATGCGAACTTCTCGCAGAAGTACAAATATAAAAATCAACAGGGGAAGAGGGCTTCTCAACAGAGGGTTTTCCTGGTCACGAGGCCATGCGTCCAAACACAAGCTCAAAGACTGGGGAGATAGCAGATTGCTGATGTACTTGAAGACCCAAGTCTGATGCCTGCATGCATGCTTGCGTTCCAGCTACAGCAAGGAAGAGACAGAAGGACCCCAGGGCTTCCTGGCTAGCTAGCCAGGCCTCCCTGGCAAGATCCAGGCCAGAGAGAAAACTTAAAAAACAAAACCAAAGCTGGGGCGGTGAGTGGCACACAACTTTAACCCTAGCACTTGACACTTGGAAAGCAGAGGCAGGTGGATCTCTGAATTTGATACCAGCCTGGTCTAGGGTAAGTTCCAGGACATCCAGGGCTACATAAGAAAACTGTCTCAAAATAACAAAACCCCCAAACAAACATACAACAGTGGACAGTGCCTAAGGACCACCTCCTAGGCTTGTCTGTGGCCCGCATGCTCAAGTACATATGAACACTGGTGCACAAAGCTAGGTAAAGATGATCCTTAAATTTAACACTTTTAGGAAGAGAATTTCAGGGCTCTTGGGGCTAAGCACAATTTTTTTAAAAAATGTCTATTTTTTATGTACACTGGTGTTATGCAGACATGCATGTCTGTATAAGGGTGCCAGATCCCCTGGAACTGGAGTTACAGAAAGTTGTGAACTGCCATGCGGGTGTTGGGAATTGAACCTGGGTCCTTTGGAAGAGTGACCAGAGCTCTTAACCACTGAGCCATCTCTCCAGCCCCCTAGGCACCAACCTAGCACACATAGATGCTGGGTCTGATCCCCAGCACTGCAGATAGACCCAAGAACTGGGACCCTGCGAACGCAGCGTAAGCCCTCTCACAAGAGACACGCAGGAACTACAATTCTCAAGACTTGACACTGAGGTACAACCTATAAAAGTGAGTCTAATGAGTAACTGAATCTAATGGAAATTTTATACTCCATAAAGCTCCCAGTTAAAAGGACTAAAGAAACCACAATATGCATTAGGAGAAAATATTTGCAAATTGCAGTCAAGAAAGGACTAAGAAGCCGGGCAGTGGTGGCGCACGCCTTTAATCCCAGCACTCGGGAGGCGGAGGCAGGAGGATCTCTGTGAGTTCGAAGCCAGCCTGGTCTACAAGAGCTAGTTCCAGGACAAAAAGCTACGGAGAAACCCTGTCTCGAAAAATCAAAAAAAAAAAAAAAAAAGAAAGGACTAAGATCTAGAATCCATAAAACAAACAGAGGTTGGAAGTGTAGCTCTGCAGAGCACCAACCTAGCACACATAGATGCTGGGTCTGATCCCCAGCACTGTAGATAGACCACCTCAACCCAAGAACTGGGACCCTGCGAACGCAGCGTAAGCTCTCTCACAAGAGACACGCAGGAACTACTCAGACAGCAGAGGCAGAGCTCAGCAGCGCAGAGCACCTGCTGCATTTCCAGGACTCAAGTTTAGTTTTTGGCATCCACACTAACTCCAGAGGACTGGATGCCTCTGTCTCCACAGGTACCTTCACTCATCTGCATATACCCACATGAAAACAACACCTACACAAAACTAAAATTAACCCCCAAAACAAATACAAACACCATCAGTAAGATGTTAGGTGTTATTAAATGAGATAATCTAAAAATCTCATTTCCCTAAATCCAATACCAAAGTCTGTATCCTGAGTCCTCCATGTAATATTCTTAGACTGAAGACAGTAACAATGGAATTCTGATAGGCCAGGTCTTATGGATCCCGTGGCAAGAACAGTGCCCTCCCCCCACGCTGATTTCTGCTCATGTCAGGACTGCAGTGATTTTGCAGCACAGCCCTACCATGGAGGAAGTCACCTGAGTATTAACTGGTGCTGTCTAGGTAGCTCTGAAGAAAAGCCAGTGGTCCATGTGGTGAGCAGCATGGATCTTTATTTTCTCAACACCAACCAGCCGCCCCATCTCAGACAAGCTGTGGCCAGCTCTTCCTTTCCTGCAGCCACCTTTCTGCTTCCCCTTCACCTGTGGTGACTAGCAGGCTTGTGCAGGACAACAGAAGTGCTAAGCCACACAGAGGGTGAGGACTGGTGCTTTGGAAGGAATGCACAGAGTAGAACAATAACTTCCGTCTTCAGACTCCCCTTTGGGCAAGCCTTGTCCATGGGAGTCTCCTGTAAAGGTAGATACTCTGTTGCTATCCAACAAGTGCTTAGGCTGCCATCTTGAACTGGTGGTTCCTGACTTGTCTATATGGTTAAGGCTACCATCAGAGTGACGGTCTGGCCACGAACCTTGTAATGTCAGCCAAGTGAACTTTTCTCTTTTCCAAATGCTCCCAGACCAGCAGTTACCACTAGATACTCTGTAGTCACATGGGCATGGAGGGAACCTCTCAGGTCCATAATCAGAATTCTGCTAACACTTCTAGTCTAGTGGGTTTCCAGGGAAGCTCCTCATTCCTGGAGTCCACATGTCCAGGACCCAGGTTTTGTCTCCCAAGTCAGCCCTCTGCTGTGCCGCACCACACAGACACTATTGGGGAGCTGGGGGAGGAGCGCACACTGGGGAAGGAGGTAGGGACTGTGTGTCCAAAATGCAGGGGGGCAGGGATAGAGGAGACACATAAAGAGCCCAGGAGGATACCTGGCATCCACCAAAACCACAGATTTATTAGGTCCACCTGTTCTGGAGCTGCTGGCCACCCCACTGCTCTGGCCAAGGTCCTATAGAGATGGTTCATGCTTCAGGGTGACAACTCTGTCTTGCCAGCACTCACTGCTGGGACACTGAACAGTCAGGTCTCTGGGATGCAGTCTGAAGCAATGGGAAAGGTCATTTGGCTAACTCCTCAGCCACTGCTTTTCGTATCTTGTCCTTGAGGTAGGCGCCTTTCTGCCATTCAGACTTGAGATCCAGCCATTCATAATATGGTACCTGGAAGAAAGTGGTGGAGATAGGTCACATGGGCCATGGAGTCCTTTCCTGTCTTCACATGGCCAGTAGCCCCTCCTGTTCTGTTAGTGCTGGTGCCTGACAGATTTAAACACCCAGCCTTTGTCCTCAGGAAGAGCACATGGAGAGGTCCTGGCTCTGGCAGGGGCAAAGAGATTGCAAACCAGAGAGATCCATCCCAGCAGGGCATCTGAAGAAAATGTGATAGAAATTCTATGTAGCCCTGAAAGCTCTGAACTTTCTCTCTGGAGGAAATCCGCCCTCCACATGCGCGGAGCACCGAGCGCTCCTGTGCGGCAGCTCCAGAGTCACACAGCACAGTAGAGGGAATAGCTCCAGTGGCTGTGCTGCACTCGGGGCACCCACAGGAGGCTAGCTAAGCCTCTGTGCGGCTGTGGGAGAGAAGACCCTGGTTTAGGGTCCAGAGCTGGGCTCCTCTCTGGATCCTTCTAGCTCTTTAAACAGGTATGGGCAGTGGTCCCTTGCCCAACAGGTACTCACATCTACTACTAGGAAGCCTGCAGCCAGTATATGTCGACGAGCTAGGACAAAACGGCCCAACAAATCCTTGCTTCGGCTGTTGAAGTTAGGGAACTCCCAGCGCAGGAAAGCGATCCTAGCAGGAGGCAAGGGTGCTTACAAGGCAGGCTCTCCGATGAAGACAAGGAGTTAACGTCAAGAGCAGTACTGCTGTGTCCTTTAGCAGGGATCCCTGGCCACCTACCTTTTAGCTCCTGGGGGCAGTGGTCGGTTTCCTACTGGCTGGGCAAGGTGAGGAGCAATAAAATCTCTTAGGGGCAGAAAGTGGCCATCGGCATCTAGGAGCACCTCTGCATCTGGGGGGCGGGGGAGGCAGGAATGGGATGAGAACTTGCAGGTGATGCCTTAGAGACCCCACAGTGTACACGCAAATAAGCATACGGGGCAGGTGCCTGCAAGGTTTAGACCCTTTCCTAGCAGAAGGGACCCCTTACCCAGTACCCAGCCATACTGGGTGATCACATCCAGGCTGCCCTGGTCAGTGCCCCCCAGCAGTGCCTTCAGTGTCTCCTGCAGCTCCTTCTGTAGCGGTGTCATCTTCTTGGTGGAGGACGAGGGACCGAGCGCTACAGCTGAGGCTGGCAGGAAAGGGCCTTTATATTCAGGGTGCTCCAGCAGGGCGGTAGTGTTGATGTGGACCAACTTCTGGAAGGTGCTCTGCTCCTTTGGAGACTTGCTCTCTGGGAGAATGAGAGAAAAGGTGGGGTGACGTTCAGCAGCAGGTGCAGAAGTGAGGATCACAAGAGATATGACCTGGGAAGGCAGTGGTGCCCATTTAGGGGAACTTAGGCTGGGGCTCCAAAGTTAAGATCTGTAGGCCAACTGCAGGGAGTTGTTGAAAAAAGCCACGGGGGTATGCTTTGTGTGCTCTGGCCTTCTGTCTCTGCTCCAGTTTCTTCCCTGGCTGGCAGACAAGGAAGTTTCCATGTTACAGGATGTGTGTGGGGCAGAATCCTCACCTAGAAATTGTTTGTGAAGTCCAGGATTGAGAACTGTTTGCAGCTCTGATTCTCGAACCTGCTGCAGCACACACAGTGCCCACACCAGGTCCACCTGCAGGGCTGGCTCTAGGCTCCCCAGCATGGAGCCCAGCTTCTCATGCACCTGAGCAAGGAGAGTATAGTGGAGAAAGCAGGCTCAGCCCAAGTACTGCAATACCCTAGAAAAGCCCGCAGCCAAGCCCTGGTCATAGTGGAGCCAGAGGCAGCTACTGGAAAGCAAGACCAACATTCTGACTGAGTAAGTAAGGCTGGCACCAATCCAAGGCTCATGTACAAGGAGCCCAGTATCCTGGTGCTATTTAGCTAGGTTTACCCATATCTGCCCACCAGCAGGGACTCAAGGCCTCAAATCCCTGTGACGCTCTGCAACAGGCACTATGATGAAGGAAGAACTTTTGGTCACTTAGGTGGCAATATAGCTGTTGTCCCTGGCTGGCTGCGCTCAGAATCATACCAGGCAATGCCCTCCAATGGTCCCTAGAAATGCCCCCTTTCCTCCCATGCCAAATATTGTGCCCCTCCCCACCCCTGCTACTCTTAGTGGCAGTTCAATGCTCATACCAAGGTGAAGAACTGATCCTCCTGCTCAGGATGGAAGTTCAGACGGGCAAAGGCGAGAAGAATGCTGGACAGGTGGGACAGGGAGACATCCTGGGCTCTGCTCAGCAGGTGCTAGGCCAGAGTGACAAAGTAAGCATCCCAACACAGCTATCCCCTCCCTTCTTGAGAGCCCAGACCTACCCAGCAGCAGCTTCCCAGAACCCAACTCCAGACAGGTGTTTTAGAAACTCTTTGACAGCTCTAGACAAGTGCAGGCTGGCACCATGTTTTCACATAATTCCACTCGGAATGGTCAGCAGCTGGGAGTACAAAGGTGCCCCCCACAAACCAACAGGCAACTGCTCTGAAGTGCTTCAGTAAGAAAGTATGCATTTACAACCCATTTGTTGTTGGCTTTGCTTCCATAACCAAAGCAGCAGTTCCCAGCGAAGGCCTGCAGAGCCTCTACACAGAGAACCCTAGAGCTGGTCCTAACTCACCTGAGTAAAGGCTTCAAACAAGGGCAGGTTGAGCCACTTGAGGAAGGCAAAGGACTTGGCGCAACGGGCCACCTCGCTAAATGTCATGCTGGGAATGAAGGGCAGGAGATCAGCAGCTAGGCGCTGGGACACTTGGGTTTGGTGGAAATTGAGTTTACCTTTGGGATGGAACAGATACCAGAGATTAGATGTGGGTAGGGCAGTGCCCCACACCCACTGCCCTCCCCACCTCAGACTTGACCTCTAGGGGTTTGGTGTCTGTGACTAGCTTTATCCCGGAACCAAGCATGGGGAACAGGGCTCAGGAGTCACAGTTTCTATGGCAGCCTTCTGGGCCAGTGCTTGCCATCATTGGGGCAGGCACTGAATTTGACACGGCTGCAGTGTCCATGGCCAGGACCCCCTCTTCTCACCGTAGGCATAGGCCAGGTCCAGGAGCATGCCTTTCGTCAGCGGGAAGGGCTTCTGTACCAGGTGGTAGGAGATGGCCCGCAGCAGGGGCACAGACCTCCGGCTCTGTGCTGCCAGCGTCACCAGCACCTTCCGTAGCTCATCAGGGCCGAACTGCTCCACCAGCTCCAGGCACTGTCAACCACAGCCGCGCAGGGATCAGCTGAGGTGGTTGGGACGAGCTGGGGGCAGGGGTCCCATCCAGTGCAGCCCCTGTGAGATAGCAACTGGGCCTGAGCTGACTCAACACAGGCCTGGCTGCACAGAATCAGCCTTTTTGCCTGCCCCAGAGACTCCTGGGTCCAGAGTAGAATGTCTGCAGCCAAATTTATCCCTAGGTCCCAAGGGCAGGGCACATAGGGCCCATGAACAGCAGAGCTTGCTGTGGCAGTCATCTGGGCCAGCTCCCACCATGAGAAGACAGGAACTGAATTTGACTTGACTGCAGAGATAGCAACATGGAAGGGGCAGCAGACAGAGCTACCTCTAGTTTTATCTAGAAGCTGAACCATACACGAGATAGCTCAGGTCTAACCAGGATTCACGTTGTTAACGTCAGGTGTTAGATTTACGTGCCTAGACCCCTTCCCATATAACACCTGAGAGGCTTCTAGGGCTCCAAACTTCCCTTTCTGCAGGAGACTGTCACCCACGGACTAGGCCCAAAGCCCCAGAGGGTCTGTTCTCAGCCCCATACCTTGTCTTCCAGGCGGTTCATTAGTGACTCTGAAAGGTGTCCTGCCTTCATCATCATGGTCACTACTGTGCGGCTGTCATTGATCTCTGTCCAGCGCCTCTCCAGGTGTATCAGCAGCTCAGCCAGCAGCTCCTGCGAGTGCTGCTGTTGCATGAAGGAGGCACAGGACTCAGCCAGGTAGACCAAGTGCTTGTACTTGAGCCTCCGCAGACGCCAGCGCACTTCCTGTTCCACCGACTGCAGCTCCTTGGAGGTCTGAGGAAGCACGAGCGTGTACAGGCTCCGCAGCAGCTTCACAAGGGTCCCATGCCAGATCGAAGTTATCTACACAGAAAAGGACAAGGACAACATGAAGCCAGTTCCAAAGGTTTTTAATACAACTACTCTGAGCAGCTAGTCTCATCCCAGCCTTGTAGGAACTGTTTCCTGAGTCTGCTCTTGCAGCCTCCAAAGAAAGGGGGAATGGCTGGGAAGATAATTGGGCAGGTAGAGTGCTTGGAGCTAAGTCTGATGAACTGACGCCTGTAAGGTGTACTCAGTTCCACGTCACACAACCTCCTTTTGTTTCTACTGTTACTGTTCCAAGTACTACCACTTACTATTCTGTTCCAGAATTAAGTCTTGTATCTTAAGAATCACCAAACAAACACACCACATCTAGAATTAAATCACAGACTAAGAGGCTTATTAAGTTTATTTATACATTATATACTTGGGAAGAAACACTTGAATCTGATGTGAATACACACAGCACAAGCTAGGTAACATGCTTAATTACAAGACCGTAAGAGTTCTTCCTACACTACCTAAGTTCAAGGCCAGCCTGGTCTACAAAGCAAGTTTCAGGACAGCCAGAGCCGTCAAACTGCAAATGGTTTTATAATGCACTTAGCCCAACCCTTCCTTATCACACTGAGATGAGGGAATGAGGCCAGCTTAGCTAGGGTAGGATTGTATTAGCCGATGGGATCCAGGGAAGCAGCTCTGTGAAGGAGCCTATCCTCATCAGGGACTAAACTGGCTGTAGTTGAGTGCTGCTGCAGAACCATGCAAATAGGCCATATCTTTTCCTCCTGTTCATGCTCTGAGGATCTGAATGTGACTAGAAAATAGCCCTGGGTTCAGGGCCTACCACTAGTCACAGGGCACCTCCTGTCTTCAGGTGGTATCAATGGGCAAAAGACACTGGGGGCGGGAGCAGAAATGTAAGGACAAAGCACCAAAGGAACTGAAAAGGACCAGGCTCATCTTCTCTAGTTTGATACCAGATGTTGGGTTGTCCTTGACTCAAGCGTTTACCTAACAGGCTCCTGGGAGGAGGAGGAACAAAAAGCACGGGCAAGTTCTTTGCAATCTAGAAGAAATACCAGGAGCCCTGTCTACTGCTGGTGCTAGTGGTGAGGGACGGAGCTAAGCTCCTTGCAAGGATTCCACAGACCTAAAGAAATGTTAGCGCTCACCTGACTGTTGACCCGACTGACAACCTGCTGAAAGCGAGCATCCTCTAAAAGCAAAGCCTTCTCCTTTGGCTTCTCGGACAGCAGGTAAGAGAGCCGGATGAGTATGAGGGCCGCGTGGTTGTGGTGCAGGCGATGACCCCCACCTAGCAGCTGTAGCAGTTCCTCTGGCCTGGTGGCTTTCTCAATGAGGTCATCTACCTCTTGGTGCTCTGGGTAGGGTGTAAACACTTGCTCTTTTCCCAGCAGCTCCGTCAAGGAACCCGAGGAGGGGGAACTGACTGAGGAGGTCAAATGCTTACAGGCCACCCCGGCAAGTCTCAGTCGGCCAACTGGAGCAATGGTGGGGACTAGACGGGTAGCTTCTCTCAACAGGCATGCGCACTGCTTCATCAGGCGGACCGCCATGATGGTGGGGGCAGGGAGAGGGAGGGAGGGAAGACTCCTAGCAAGCGATTCCAAGGTCCTGAATAGAGAGTGGAGAATTACATAAACTTAGAAGAAACAGTCACCCTATATACCTGGCCCCAATCCTCCCCTGTTCTGAACACCCATTACATATATAACAGCATTTTCTGAAGCCAAAGTCCCGAGTTTCTGTTTCAGCATACAAGCGCTCAGACACCACAGCTCACATTCCAGCCTGGGAGGCGCCAGCCCCAGCTGCACTTCCAATCGCACCCAGATCCTCAGGTCCCGCTCAATGCTTACAGGAAGCCAATCTGGGCATTTTTTTTTTTAATTTCAAAGGTATCCAGGATCAAAAATTACTGGCTTAAAGAAATATGACAGGACAGTCTACAGAGTGATTCTGGGAAACCTCATATATAACTCATGTTCCTGAAATGTCTGGGAAAACATGCGAACACTACTGATACAGGTGTTAGGTCTGGAGAAAAGCCCCTCCCCCTCACTGTGTGTGCATTTGCAGGGGCTGATAAAGGTGTTAGGTCTGGAGAAAAGCCACCACCCCCTCACTGTGTGTGCGTTTGCAGGGGCTGAAGAGGTGGCTTGGTAGTTAATAGTATTTTGTTATTTCCAGATAACCAAAATCCAGTCCCTAGTCCCCTCATTAAGTGATTCACAAATGCCTGCATCTCCCGAGAGCTAACTCCCTGGGTTTCTGTGGGCACCTGCACATGTGTCCATGCTCACACAGAGACATATAAACAGAGAAAACAATTTTAATGGGATCTTTTTCTTTTCTTCCTCCCTTTTTATGACTGAATCTTTTTTTTAAATATTTATTTATTTAGTATGTATACAATGTTCTATCTGTGTGTATGCCTGCAGGCCAGAAGAGGGCACGAGACCTCATTACAGATGGTTGTGAGCCACCATGTGGTTGCTGGGAATTGAACTCAGGACCTCTGGAAGAACAGGCAATGCTCTTAACCGCTGAGCCATCTCTCCAGCCCCTTTATGACTGAATCTTAATAGAGCCCAGGCTGGCTCAATCATTTTATATCACCAAGGAGGCCCTTGACCTTCTATTCCTAAGCCTTAGGATTACAGGCAGCCTACCTGGAGGTCTTATGTGAGTCAGGCAAGCAGGTGCAATAGAGTCACACCCCTAAACTTTTTTTTTTTCCAAAGATTTATTTATTGTGTATACAACATTCTGCCTCCATGTATGCCCACAGAGCAGAAGAGGGCACCAGATCTCTTTACAGATGGCTGTGAGCCACCATGTGGTTGCTGGGAATTGAACTCAGGACCTCTGGAAGAGCAGCCAGTGCTCTTAACCTCTGAGCCATCTCTCCAGTCCCACACCCCTAAACTTTTAAGAGCAAAACTCACTGGCACCACCCAGAGTCACCTTCCCGGGTGTTAGCCAATTCCCGCAAACCAGGATAAACCTGAACTTTCAGCCCACAGTGCAAGACTTGCAACTGCCTTCCCGGCTAACCACAGGGCATGGCAAAACACACTACCTTTTTTCAAGTCCTGGAAAACGCGACCTTCTTCGAGAACATGTTACATATTCATGTTTCTTTCAACAATTCCGCCCCAGTCTTGTTCCCTAAAGTGAGACAGAAACCAGGTGAGATAAGTTACTAAACCTTGATTCGACTGAAGCAGAAAGCACCTTAATTTTTTTTTTGTTTCCGGGAATCGGGTACATGACCAGCTTATTTTATTGTCACATGAACAGACTACTGCAGCTGTAAAAAGACCGGCTTAAGTTACACTCACGAGGAAATAAAATATGGCTCATAAGGGGGAAATCTGCCCAAGTTCAATAGCCACCACTTGATGAACCCAGACAGCAAGGAAGCGCTGGCCAACCGAATCGATTCTCAAGACACTTCTAAGAGCAATTTAAATAGAATCTGCGTTTAAGTAAGTATCAACCCTAAAACCTAAAATGCAGACCCACGACAACCTACTGGGAGGAGACGCAAGGGTCACTGTGGGTAGCTTTGCCTAGCCGGCGAGGCCTCGTGCCCAAGGCGGGCACAGGGGCGCGTGCGCAATAGCAGGCCGGAACCGAATTTGCAACCGGCCAGCGCCCTTGGGTCACTGAGTCAAAAGCTTTTCCACCCCCTCTAGCCCCCACACACAATAGCCCCGCTGGCCCTTACTAACTGCTGCCCTCCCCAGACACCCTTCCCGTCCCGGGTACCCACGCTCAGCAACCCGGGCTCTCCATGACGCGAGACCGGGGCAGCGATCACCCTCGCTGACCTCCATTCGCTGAACGGCCTCCACGCGGCCCGGCGCGCTCGGATACGTCACCAGCGCGCCACCGGAAGCGACGTAGCCGGTGAGGTCGGCCGCAGGCCACGCCCTCCTCCTTTTCCCGGCCCTCTCCATCTTCACTGAGTACAGGCTTCCGGTATAAGGAAGCATAGTGGGAGGCGGGTGATGGGAAACTCAGACGGAAGGGGAGGAAGGGAGTTCTGGAAGGCAGGATTCGTCTGGCTGGAACATCCTTCCAGTGCGGCGTTTGGGTAGCGACTCCAAAGCCTGTCCGTCTCTGGGGGTGCGGCCCGCGGAGGTGGTGTGGGGCTGGAGAGCGCTGCCAAACGGCCACTAATTACGGAGAAGCGAGTTGTATAGCTCTGAAGGTCTTTCGGAAATGTAAGCTGTTTGTCTAGGTTAAAGCACACCACGTACGATGACACACCTATAAATTCCTGTAATTTCAGTACTGGGGGCCGAAGCAGGGGTCTGAGGCTAGCCTGTGCTACTATTGAGGCTGATTCAAGAAACAGAGCAGCAGCGGGGCATGAGGGGAGCACGCCTTTAATCTCAGCACTCAGAAGGCAGAGGGAAAAGGAACTTTGTTCGAGGCTGAGGCTAGTTTGGTCTACATAACGAGTTCCAGCATAGCCAGAACCACACGGAGAGACCCTGTCTCGGAAAACTCCTACCCCCCCCCCAAAAAAAATCAAACAAAACCCAAAAATCCAATAGGACTGGGGAGATAGCTCTGCCCATAAAATGTCTTGCTATACAAGCATGAGCGCCTAAATTGTTCCCCAGAACATTAAGAACAAAAGAAAACAAACTACAAAAGGTTGGATAGGCTAATGAGATGGTGAGTTTCCCTTGTAATCCCAGTGCTGGCGAAGCAGAGACAAGATTTCTGGGACTTGCTGGGTAGCCAGTCTAAGCTACTGGAGTTCAGGCTAAAGATGGCTTCTGCCATTGACCTCTGTCCTCACAACTGAATTCTGGGTGGATGCCCACATTCCACCCTTTGGCCCCATAAACTTGTAACAATATCATAGTGCAAAATGCATTTAGTCCTACTTCAGAAGTCTTCATAGTTTATCACAATCTCAACAGTATTTTAAAGTCCAAAGTTCAAAGTCTCTTCTGAGACTCATGGCAATCTCTTAACTGTAATCACCTGTAAAAATCAAAAAGCAAACTGCACACTTCCAACATATAATGGCACAGGAGATTCATTACCATTCCAAAACGCAGGGAAGGGAACATAGTGAGGAAATACTGGACCAGAAAAAGACTAAAACACCAGCTGGGCAAACTCCAAACTCTGCATGCATCTCCATGTCTGATGTTGAAATACTCTGGATCGCCAGCTCCCTTCAGCTTTGTTGACTGCAGCACACTTCTTTTCTCTCGGGATGTTAGCAGCTCTCCTCAGCAGGCATCTCCAACATCTTGGGGTCTCCAAGGCACTGCAGGCTTTAACTTCACAGCTTCAGGAAATGGCTTCTTTACTAAGCCTCCACTCAGGGACACCCCAACACATGCCTGGCTTCTTTGGCCTTCTTTAGCCACAGAAGACGATTCCATATCCTGTTTTTTTTTTCTGTCCTTATCACTAAAGCAGAACCACATACCCGAAGCTGGCAAGTTCTGGTGCTGACTGGGGCTAGTACATGACCCTCTCATTCAGTTGTGTCTTTACCAGCTTTGTGTCCTTCGTTACCTAAGCTTGGCTGTCCTGAGAAACTTACTCTGGCCTCAAACTCAGAGATCTACCAGCCTCTGCCTTCTCAGTGCTGGAATTAAAGGTGTGCCCCACCCACCTGGCTCTAAACTTCTCTTTAATTCCTTTTTACTAGTTGGAAATTTAACTGGGTGGGGTCGTGCCCTAAGATCACCATTCCCTGTATTCCGTTTCTTAATCTATCTCCTGAACATAGGATTTCGCTCCATTCCACTTCCCGATGCTCTTTTTTTTCTCCTCAAAATTTACATTTTGTAATTTATCCTGCTCAGCACGTTCCTTTTTACTATAAATATTTAAAAGCATGAACACCAATAACCACAGGACAGAGTCTACACTAGGTTGTTTTGAGATTTCTTCTGCCAACCGAATTAATCCAAAACTCTTTACTTTAGTCTCAGGCAAACTCTTCGGACAATGGCAAAAGGCAGCCACTTTCTTCACCAAACATCACAAGAACGATCTCTAGGCCACATACTAAAATTCTCCTCTGAGGGGCTGAAGAGATGGCTCAGAGGTTAAGAGCATTGCCTGCTCTTCCAAAGGTCCTGAGTTCAATTCCCAGCAACCACATGGTGGCTTACAACCATCTGTAATGAGGTCTGGTGCCCTCTTCTGGCCTGCAGGCATACACACAGACAGAATATTGTATACATAATAAATAAATAAATATTTAAAAAAAATAAATAAAATTCTCCTCTGAAACCTCTTGATCCCTACAGTTCATCAAATCACACTCAGCACCACTGTCTTCTGTCCTCCTACTAGTGTGGCCCGTTAAGCAGTGCTTAAAGCAATCCACTGTTTTCCTAATCCAAATTCCCAAAGTCCATTTATTCCAGACAAAAGCATGGTCGGTCAGGCCTGTCACAGCAATCCCCCAGTCCCTGGTACTAACTTTTGTCTTAGTTTGGGTTTCTATTGCTGTGAAGAGACAGCATGACTACAGCAACTCTGACAAATGACAACATTTAATTGTAGTGCCTTGATTACAGTTCAGAGGTTCAGTCCATTATCATGATGGGGAGCATGGCAGCATGCAGGCAGATGTGGTGCTGGAGAAATAGACAAGTGTCCTACATCTTACAGGCAATAGGAAATTGACTGAGACACTAAGCAGTACCCTGAGCACAGAAAACCTCAAAGCCCTCCTCTACAGTGTCACACTTCCTCCAACAAATCCATTCTAACAAAGTCATGCCTCTTAATAATGTCACTCCCTATGAGATTATGGAGGCCAATTATATTCACTCTACCCCAATTGACTTTATGAGTTTTTCTTCCTGTACTGTATACTGTATTTAAAATATATATAATTGTGTGTGTGTGTGTGTGTGTGTGTGTGTGAGAGAGAGAGAGAGAGAGAGAGAGAGAGAGAGAGAGAGAAACTTGTGGGAACTGGTTCCTTCCATTGTGTGGGTTCTGGAAATTGAATTCTGTCAGGTCAAGTACCTTTACCCGCCTTCCCAGTAGCTGGGACTGTAGGGCCATGGTAGCTTACCTTGGTTGTTTTTGTTTCAGAGTCTCATGCTGAAAACAAAAATAGACCGGAGATATAAAGGTATAGAACTCTTAAGGAAAAAAATTATTATCTTTGATTAGACAGTAGTTTCTTAGATAGAATACTTCCTGTGAAGGTAGGTTCCCGGTGACTGTGGTGTCCCTTAAGTGTGACTCACCATGAGTTACATACACTGTTATCCTTCTTTGTAAGTTCTGAGAAGGGTCTTCTCAGAGCAGGAAGTTCAACCATCCCAGCCCATCCAGTGGTGGAAGTCACCTCTGGCAGTTTAGTTACTTTTCTGTTGGGAGTCAAAACACCATGACTAAGGCAAGCTTCTAGTTTGGGGCATTTAGTTGAAGGTTTACTTACAGTTTCAGAGGATGAGTCCAGGATCATCATGGCGGAGAGCCTGGCAGCAGGCAGGCAGGAGCCGTAGCTGAGAGCTCATATCTGCTCCACAAGCCAGAGACAGAGCCAGAGGCTACCTGGGAATGGTGGGGGCTTTTATTTATTTATTTATTTATTTATTTATTTATTTATTGGAAATTCCTAGAGCTTTATTTTTTTTCTTTTTTTTAAATTTATTTATTTATTAAGGATTTCTGCCTCCTCCCCGCAACCGCTTCCCATTTCCCTCCCCCTCCCCCGATCAAGTCCCCCTCCCTCATCTGCTCTAAGAGCAATCAGGGTTCCCTGACCTGTGGGAAGCCCAAAGACCGCCCACCTCTATCCAGGTCTCGTAAGGTGAGCATCCAAACTGCCTAGGCTCCCCCAAAGCCAGTACGTGCAGTAGGATCAAAAACCAACTGCGATTGTTCTTGAGTTCTCAGTAGTCCTCATTGTCCACTATGTTCAGCTAGTCCGGATTTAACCCATGCTTTTTCAGACCTAGGCCAGCTGGCCTTGGTGAGTTCCCGATAGAACATCCCCATTGTCTCAGTGTGTGGGTGCACCCCTCGTGTTGGGGGCTTTTAAAACCTCACAGCCCCCACCAACCCCCATGACATACTTCCTCCAATAAGGTCACATACCCTAATTTTTCTCAAACAGTTCCTCCAACTGCAGACCAAGTATTCGAATACATGAGCTCATAAGGGCCACTCTCATTTGACACCACATCTGGTAAACCAGACTGGGTTCTGAACCACGAAGGCACAGGCTCAAGTCAGAGCGTGAACCTAAGAACAGTGTTGCTTTAGGAAAGGGCTGACAGTGGAGTCCTGTGTGTTCAGAGAAAGGTTGGAACCTCTGTAGATGGAGCACCTCCACTCAAGGCTCCTCAAGGGGCCTGTACCCTCACCTCATGCCCTTACCAAGTCACAGTTCCCTGGAGCCACAGGGACAGGCCAGGTGCAAGCAGAACCAATGCCAGCTTTGGGTATAGGAACGGGTTCGTTTTTCTCTGCCAACTAAATAATTTAAAGACAGGAAAGACATGTTAGCAAGAATCTTGGGGAATCCCACCTGAGCCATCACATGGCACCTGGAGAATCAGGATTCCTTCTGTGGGTTCTTACTTATTAATAAAAGAATTTACGAACACACACAAACAGAATCTGAGGACAGTTATCAGAGTTCATAAAAGAAAACCCCAGGGCAAATGAGCCATAAATCCTGAAGCTGCCTGGAAGAGAGGAGGGGAGAAGGAACAAGAGCCGTGCAGTTTGAGCTGGGCAGCAAGCAGGTCAGCCACTTGGTGGCAGGTGTCCCAGTGGTGAGGAGCAAGAGCCATACAGCTGGAGATGCAGGTCAGCCACCATGACAGGCAACCTTCTGGTGGAGAGTAGAGCTTTGAGAAAAAGGA